GAAGACATTTCCACATAAGAAAGCCACAACTTTGGATCCGCAAGGAGGCTTGGCAGTTAAGTTGCTAGTGAACCCAATTAACATTTGAATTCCCTAAATACGCTCATACAAGTCATATCTAAAACCTATAAAAACGCCAACACCGAACTTTGCTAAGGAACAGGCGAGTAAGCAAAACAGAACGATGTCTGAAAATTATAAAAGGAAACTTACAGTAGGAATGAGGCCCGCCCGAATTGCACCCATGAATTGGACCGATGAAGGGTCAGTGTAAAGTCGAAGCGGTCCATCGTCCAAGCTGAAGCCATTATTCCAAAGTTTTACGACAACATTCTTCTTATCATCGCTTTCTTCGTCTAAACCGACGGGTGCGATTGAAGACGATGATTTTCCAGACTCAACTCGCACAGTGGGATCAGAGAGGGTTGTACCCAATCTGAAAATTATGAATAGGAAATACGCAAAAATTAAGAAACAAATTTCTTCTATTTTGAACTACCTACCCAATTGATTTTAACAAGTTAAAAGTGGGTGAAATGCAAAGAGCACACCAAAACTTATGGATCGTACAAAAGTTGTCCGCATATATGTCAAAATGCCTTAAGTTAAAAAGCATCAATAAGTTATAAAGATACATTTTTCGATAGCTGTCATCAATTTATTGAATTAAATGAAATCGAACATTCAACTTGCGAAATTATATGACTGTTCTCAAATTTTTCACCAAAAATTATTATATTTTGAAATTTATTTATTATTAGAACAGTTAAATAACATTTGCATTTTTGTTAAAAATCTTGTTTTGGATGACTCTTTCCTGAACGCGGTGAACTTGCTCCCATTTTATTGGGTCTCAGTAGCTGCATTGACATGGATGTGAAGCACAGTCCGAAGATTAAAAGTGAACCAGTTACGCCACCGGATACTAATAGGCGACGTCGACTGCGCTCTCCGATGATAATTGATCATAAAAATGATATTAAAGTAAAGCGTTCGAGGCTTTCTTCTCCAGTTTTGATCAATGATCACCAAGAGCATGATATAATTAGACGAGACTTAAAGCCTGATCCAGATTTCGGCGACCGATCTCGCAGGGACCGTCTTCACCGCAGTCCACGTCATTCGCGTCGCGAATATCCCAATACCCATGACCGCCACAGTAAAGATTCTGGTACAAAGTCTCGGAACTATGTAGATGAATCCAAGCCTGCTTCCGAACCAGGCCCTAAAGCACAGGTCAACTTTGAACTTTCTGGCAAGTTGGCCGCAGACACAAACTCCTATAAAGGTGTTGTAATAAAATACAATGAACCGGAGGATGCCAGAAAGCCCACCCGGTTTTGGCGACTCTATCCTTTCAAAGGTGACGAGAGTCTCAAAGTGATGCACATCCATCGACAAAGTGGGTATCTTATTGGAAGTGATACACGTGTT